GAAGGATTTTGAGAAGTCCGTACAGGTTTCCCTCGATTCATGCGGTACATGCATTTCGGGAGAATGCTGCATAAATTGTATTTAAAGTGAACCCACTTTACAATGTAACAAATAGGGATAGGTTTTTATGGCAGTGAGGGCGGGAGTGAAGCTGGGACTAGGGAAGGGGCAGGGGGAGGGGTGCTGCTTTTGGGGCTGCACAAGGCAGCAAAGCAGAGGGAACAGAGCAACACTCCCCCCCACTCCAGCTGCAGTGGCCCCAGGAGCAGCTGGCACCTGCGGCCGCTGGGCTGCACCATGCTTCACCTTGTCCCCCCGAGCCTGGGCTCCACTTGTCCTCACTCACCTCTCCTGAGCTGCACCGTACTGTGGTAAAGGCAGCTGGTGTTGGCTACTCCTAGGGCCACTCCAGCACAGGCTGGGGTGAGTGTGGACAAGCAGAGCCCTGGGCAGTACGGAGCACAGCACTCACCCCAGCCCATGCTGGAGCGGCCCCAGGAGCAGCCAACACCAGCTGCCTGCACCAGGGCACGGCACAGCACAGAAGCAGAGAAGAGTGAGGATAGGCAAAGCATGGAGCAGCCCAGCGGCTGCAGACAGCTAGCACCGGGCGCTCCCAGGGCCACTGCAGCTGGGACTAGGGTGAGTGGGGCCTTTCCCCTCCCCCCACAGACTTACTTGTTTGGGCGGGGGGGTGTCTATGCTGATCGCATAAGAGAAAATTTACCTCGCATGTAATAAATTATGGGTCTAAATATGCTCATCGCATAAGAGCAAATTCGCATATAAAGAACCCACATAAATTAAGGGAAATCGGTGTAATGGAGAATGTTTTGATACCTTGCAAATAGAGAAGTAGGTTTCCTTAATGCCTGTCATTTAATGGCTTATTGCTCCAAACCATGGAAATTTATATTTTTCTGCTTGATTTTTTTTAACCTATCAAATGTTTGTACTATTTGTATAAATATCTGATGTTTCTTATGAATCCTGCTTGGCCCTTGGACTTAGCTGTATCTTCAAGAGCTTTCTATCTCATGCTGATTTATGTTTTAAAAGTCCTTTTGTCTAGTTTTATTGTATTGTCTTATTCTTAAATTTATGAGACTGTAAATAGGAGTCTGAGTTACCTTCTTTATATAATTAATTATTTTAAATATCCTTAGTACGTCCTCACTTAGATAAACTTAACCAGTCCTAGTCGCATCTTAATCTCTTTCCCGATTATGTTGGTCTTTCAGTGCCTGTGATACTTTCCAACGTTGAATTTTTGCTAGGACTTTGTTAGATGGATGATCAATATTGAATGTGATATTTAAGGTGAGAGTATCAACAGTTGTTATAAGGACATTGTAATATTTTTAACATTATTGTCTGTAAGTCTGCTGTTATCCACAAACAGCTTGGAAAAATTCCTCTAAAAGTGGCTTAGTTGGTATGAAGGATAGTTTAATTAATTAGCAGAATGTGGTTACCTTAATTATTGTCATTGTTAACTATTTCAGTGCCAATCATCTTAGAAATACCCAGAGTAGAATGGTAGGGTAGTAGTTGTAAATGGTTTCCTGGGATGGGGTATAAGGAATGAATCCTTGTTCCTCAAATTTAGTCACCAAAACAGAGAGGAAGCAGAGCTGTATCCCCTCCCCAATACCAAAAGTTTTTGACTGCTCCTTGGATTCCAGAACTGCTTCTAGGAATGTCCAGGAGAAGTTCTAGACTCTTGTTTCCAGGTATCAGAAATCTTCAGTCCCTTCCCCCCAATTCCTGTCCCTCCTCGCTCCGTTTCTGAGATGCAGCTAGTCAATTTCCACATGCATGTCTGCAGCGAAGTGAAAACTAGGGTAGTGTGAAATTGTATTGGACACCAACATAAAAGTTACTTTTCTAGAGTGAGTGGGACCAGACAAAGGAAAGGGTTTGGTGAGGGAAGTGTTTCATAATTCTGGGATCCCTTTCATGTAACCGACGTCTAATATACTATAAAAAATATGGCTCTTTACAACAGTTGGAAGGAATGAACCTCTCTCTTAGCATTAGAGGTTGAATACACTCTTAATACAACAAACTCTTGCAAGGAGGCCTTCAACAAGCAAAAGAAAAACCAACTTCAAAGGGAGAAGATGTGTTTAATAAAGTGAACGTTTCATGGCTTGCTTATATACATCACACAGAAGTTGAA